CCATATTTAGTCGTGTATTCACATCTTGGTCATTGGATTTGGGCTGATTCGATTTTATTCCAATTTGTTGGGTCTTCATGCGCCATTTCCCTTTTTATTTTTATAGAAATTTCTTATATCTAAAACTGGGTGAATCATGCATTGAACCCCCATAACTTTGCCGTATTTTCTATTTTAGTCATTGTTCCTTTGTTTCTTGTTTACTTCAAATTTGGGATGTTAATTTTACTAGTTTTTATTATGGTCTTTTATATGTATTTGTTAATTTTACTTCAAATTTGTTAATAATCTTATAAACTACTGAACAACATGAAATAAGTCTAAAATCCTTAACCAAACAAGGGTTTTGGACATTAACGAGAAGGACACGAGATATGGCATTGAAAGCATGTAACAGGAAAGAAGAGGGGAGACATATTTATAAAATTCCATGGATAAAAATAAATTTTCAATAAAAAATACATAAAAAATATAAAATATATGATAAATTTAAATTTTCATGAAGAGCGACTACTCTCACTAGTCTCCTTCAGTTCATCCATAGACGAGTCAAACAATCCTTCATAACAGGTCTATATCATCTTGTCTAAACCAGTGGACCAATTTGTTTGAGAATAGTGTTTCATATTATGAAATGTGGGGACTTCGCTTACTAAGCTTACTAGGCTCACCATGGGAGGAGGTTAATATTTAAAATTTATTAAAATTTTGGTTTATGTAAAAATAAATATTTAAAATTAAAAAATATAAGAATTTATTAAATATTTAATGAAGTAAGGACCGAACTAAAGAATGATAACCCTATGTTCTCAAACGTTTTGGTCTAATAACAATTTAGGTCATTGTAAGTTTAAATATTAGACAAATTAGGTGTTATCTTGTGAATTTTGAGGTTTTTTTAGGGTGAATATATGGTAATATATGTACAAAGACTCAACTATTTGACAATGAACGCTCATACCCCTATTTGACAGTGCTATATCGCAAGACCTCAAGGATAACAACAATTCCTTAATCACTAAGGTCGTTTGGTTCGTGCTGAATTTTGAGTTTAAATACCTAATAAATCTTCATATTCTTCTTAAATAATTCAATATTTCAACCCGTGTCAATATTTTGTTCTAGCTCCGTCCCTGAGGATCACCAAGTGTCCGATGACCCACGGCAACTTACAAATGATCTATTCCATATCAATTAATTAAGATTATTGTAGTTTAATTAAAAGTTTTATGTTTGAATTATTAAGAATATAATAATATTAAATATTTGATGAGAAAATTTTTACTGTTTATGTGATTTTATCCACTTAATACTTTCACTCATATGATCTTATTCTCTTCTTGAAATTAATTTTTAGGGTAAACTATGTTTTTAATCATCAAATTATTTTTGTGGTTCTATTTCAATCACTCAACTATTTCTTTTTTCAAAATCAAACTAAAAGTTCTGTTTCGATCACCTGCCATTGTCGATGGCATTTTTTTAATTTTTTATATCAATGATGAAGTGACATGTTAACATCACATTTAATTTTTTAACGACGGGTGACTAAAATAGAACCAAAGCGAAACTTTAACTATGATTTTTTTTAAATAATTGGGTAACCAAAATGGAATCTCGAGAATAGTTTTTTGATGAAGTATTTAATTTACCCTAATTTTTATTAAAATTACTAAACGAATTTATAAAAAAAAAATCTTTCTAATTCATTAAAAAAAGAGTATTTTGACCCCACTTCATAAGATGCCAAGTTTTTCGTCCATAGTATATAAGTAGGCAAAGTGTTTTGGTGATATAAGTAAGCAAAACTCGTATACGTAAATTCTTTATGTAAAATCAAATATTTGGTTCTTTCAACCGGGAAAGTAATTTGATTCAATATATATAACTGAAAAAACATAGGCATTCACTTAGTTTTCTTATTAGAAAGCATATCAAATTGCACCCATAAAAAGAAACATAATGTGTGTACAAGTTATAGAACTCCTCACTCTTATCTAAAGTCAATTGTAATGCTTGGACATCCGTTCCATTTTAGCTTTTATATTTATTTTTAGGATAAATTATATATATATATATAACTACTTAATTATTGTCTCATTTTATTTTAAGGATCGATTCCTCAATTTTGTCAATAAGATAACTTAACTATTTAAGTGTTTTCCATGCTGGACGGATTTAAACCTTGGACAAGGGGAGAACCTCTGCGTGCTTGAATCTAGGGGTGAGTAAAACTCGACTCAATTGAAAAAAAATTGATCTTTTCGACTCGAATTGACTAGATTCTTAATTTTATGAACCCGACTCAATTTTTCTTTAAAATTCGAGTAGAATTATACAATGGAACTCGAATAACTCGAAATTTTTAGTAATTAGTGAGTTGATTTTCAAGTTAGAGTCGAGTCCCTCAATTTTGTATGATATATGTATATCACATATGAAAAAATATATATGAATCTTATATAGTTATAGAAAACCGTTTAAATTGGAATCAAATAGTATCATAATATTTATAAAGATTTACAATTAAATTTAAATAGAAACTCGAGGATTGATGCCTACCTATCCTATGCAACTATCAATCGTAGATTCTATCACCACATCGAGTCAATATTTTGATTAAATTATCAATTTCATTCATGTGAGAGATTGATAAAAAAAAACATACTTTCGGAAAGTTTGAGACATATTTTCAATAGGTAAAGGTAGAAATTCAAATAATAAAATTATAATTTTATATTCTACAAATGAGAATTTTACAACGGTATATCATATGCTCAAAATGATTTAGTGATGAATAAGAAATTGATGCTTAAAGTAAGCTATTTGTAAATTATGTTGAGAGAAATAGAAAGCTTAAATCCATATGTGGTATACTAGGTGTGAGATATTTTTCTATACATGAACCAACTTGTGTGTTGTTGAATGTCCAAGATAAGACTTTACCTCGTACGTAGGCACAGAGTGTGCAAATCGGTGTGAATCCTTGTCGTATGGAGTTGGGGGCACATGTTTGACGTAAACGATGTAGAATGTCTAGATTGGTCGAGTCCTTTAGGGGCCTATAGATATTTTAATTCAATCTAATTTTTCTTTTTTCCTCAAATAAGAGCGAATCTCTTAAATTCGGTTTGGAATTAAAATGACAAAATTAATTGAATTTAATGGCTCTTTATTTAGACATTATTTTAGATAATTGTTACATTAATTAATAAGATGTGAATATTATGCATTAATAGACAAGTATACTATGCATTAATGGATGAGAATAATATGCATTAATGATTCCTTAATTCTTGGATATTAGTTGCTTCATTATTCAAACTTTCCAATAATTTTACAATGTGAATATTCTATTTCAACTGGGTAAAGCTACAAGATAAACACGCAAATATTTTCCGACTCTCAAATAGTTTCGATGATAGAAAAATAGTAAGTTACAGTTCACTGGTCACTGCATCTGATTTCATCTGATTTCATGACTACAAATGAGTAAATGATTTCTTATATTATCTTTATTTTTTATTTTATTCAATTCAATAATAAAATATTAATTATTTTTATTATTATTTTATTATTTATTTCTCGGATCATCTTTTGTCTAATAATAATTAGATATTAGCCATTCTCCACTCGAACGGAAAGTTATTTCATGAATTATTTTTATTACATCATCCATGGTTCCTATCAATAAAAATCCCTCCACTCTTTTTGTTCCACACCACTAATCCACTTATAATTAACTTTCAAGTAACCACCCAATTTTACATAACATGAAAAAGAAGGTAAAGAATCATCCTTTAAAAATGATATAGAAGAAAACATGAGATGATTTTTTTATTGATCGAGACTATGAATAAGTGATGAGGAAGGTTAATATATATTTTTTAAGTTTTTTTTTTTTAAATTAACCGGTTAGTTAATTTTAGTCTCAGTTGGTTAATGATTAATGATTTTTTCAAACTTAAGTTATCAGTTAATTCAATTTAAAATCAATTAATTAACTGAATTAATCGATTAATCAAAAATATTAAATATATATTATATTATTTTTATACTACTTAACCTTAGTCTAATTAGTTCGGTTCAATTTAATATTTAATATATTATAATCCATATAGTAATCAAAAATATTAAATATGTTATATATTAAATATAAAAATTATAATAAATTTTGATTAATTTAAAAATGGATCAAATCAATCTTATTTTGTTCAATTTAATTAAATTTTCTAAAAAATTTGAGTCTTCCTGATATCTTTCCAAAGATGTCAGATGGTCTGACATCTTTTCCCGTGCAATGTTTATATTATCCTAATTACCATATTAAATTTTCTAAAAATTTTGAGTCTTCCTTTTTACCATATTATTCATGAAAAATCGCCCTTGTTTTTTACATCTTAGATTCTGTTATTTTTTGTTTTCTCAATATTAGTTTTACAATTGCAAATTTACTTTAATTGTTTATATTTAAAAGGTTTAAAATAGTAATATAAACTAAACAATTTTAATAATTAAAAAAGTGTTATTAGATCTTATATTCAAACACGATATATATATATATGAGAATATACGGATATTTATTATAAAATGAGTGAGAATCTTTTGTGCAAAGCGTTTAGGATTGAAAGGGGAGATGCTCCCAAGTCTAATGATATTTTTGGCTTTTATTTGCATATTCTGTGGCCTGTAGGGAATTGATAGCAACTGTACACAAACAGGCATCCACTTTCTCGCAAAAGATCTTTAAACAACTTTCCTTTTTCCCCCAGTTTTTCCTAAAATCATTCTCTGCATGCTGATGAACCCAAAAGCCAAAACCAAGAACTTGAAAGTTGAAACATCAGACACTTTGTGAGGTAAAATAGAAAACCAATAGCTTCTTTCTGGGATTTTCCTTTGGGGTAATCTATCTTTTCTTTGGTAAATCATCAACTACTTGATGCTGCATGCATAATAAAATCCATCATGCATTAGACTCAGTAATTTAGTCTTTTATTTGCTATAATTATTTAAAGAAACAACTTTTGCATTTGCGATGGGTTCTCTCAATGCAGCATTCATCACCTATATATCAACACTATACTTTCATTTTCTTTGATTTCAAGAGTTGAAAACCAGTTTTGATGATTAGATCAAGATCAATCTTTCTTGTTGTTTTTGATGGGAAAGTTCATGTGGACATGCAGAAGTGATCAGATATTGATGAGAAGTGATTTGGAAAACTTGGTGGTTGCCTAAGAAAGGATGCCACAAACCAACTATGGTTTGCACTGCCAATGATTTATCAGAATGGAAGGATTTTCCGAAGGGTCTCAGGGTTCTTCTTCTTGATGAGGACACCAATTCTGCTGCTGAGATAAAATCAAAGCTTGAATCTATGGACTATATTGGTTAGAACTTTGAATCTCCCCTTTTTTTCGTAGCTGAATTGCAAGTGTTTAGTATCTGTATACCCACTTCACATGATTCCCTTTTTCTTAATTATGTTTTGTTGTAGTTCCATAAGTAAATGGTAATTAAATCTTGTGTTTTTACTTTCTCTTCACTGTGATCTCCTACATCTTTAATGCTGCATTTATTTATAACACCTACTTTTTCTTTGTTAGGTCTCTTTGTATGTATGATAAAAGTTATTGACTTTTTGTGCCTTTTGCAGTTTACACTTTCCGCCATGAAAACGAAGCTCTTTCGGCAATTTCGAGTAGACCTGAAAGTTTCCATGTAGCCATTGTAGAGGTATGAACTTTGATTTCTACTGCAATTTCCAAATAAGACGAACAAGAACTAATTAAAAAGGCATGCTTCAAATGTTTGATAATATGCAGATAGAAGTTAACGACAAGTATAGTGATCCCACAATAAAAGAGACACCGTAGCATTTTCCATAACTTGTAAACACATGTGCCTTAAATCATCATTATATTGGCACTACTAGTAGTACTTAACAGAAAATTATACATGCTATTCTCGATTTGCTATACTTGAGATAAATTCATTGATGCCAAGCCACCATTTCCATCATCAGAATACTATCGGTTTCATCGGAAGCTTTAGTTTAGTCATATATCCACTTTCTTTGCAGGTCGGTGCAAGCAATAACAATGGGAGTTTCAAGTTCCTTGAAATGGCTAAGGACTTGCCTACCATTAGTAAGTTCAGAAACCACATTCCAGTCTTGGTTTTGCCATAGATTTTTCAATCAGTTCTTTGTAAAGCTCCATCTAATCAGCCCCGACATAAAACTTTACCGGCATCTTTGACAGTGACCGATATTGTCAAACATATTCTCAAGTTCCTAATGCTTTGATAACTCATATTTTGTTGCAGTGACTTCGAACATTCATTGCATCAGCACCATGGTGAAGTGCATTGCGGTAAGACGTATTCTAGCTTACCACTTACCGAACAGTTTACTTGTATTTCCGGTGCACATCCGAGTCGTTGAATCTAGCTAAAACCGTAGACCCTAAATCCATTTCCATCTACCATTCTTGCTAACCTAGAGTTTACGTTTTGACAACATTTTTACAGCTTGGTGCAGTTGAGTTTCTTAGGAAGCCACTTTCCGAGGATAAACTAAGGAATGTATGGCAGCACGTGGTTCATAAGGTTGGTGTGGGATTGAAATGTAAATGGCAATCAAGGTTCTATAATATGGGAATTCTCATTTTGATTAGTCCTTTTACAGGCATTCAATAGAGGGGGAAATGACCTTACTAAACCACTCAAACCTGTTAAGGACTCTTTGGTTTCCATCCTGCAACCACAATTGGAAAACGGAAAACCTCGAAAAGGCGACTCGAAGAAAACGGAAGGTGCATTAGTGGTTCATCAAAATGACCATGAACCACTGGCACGCAATGATAAGTACCCTGCTCCTTCGACACCTCAATTAGAGCAGGGAGGAAGATTGTTAGATGATAGAGACTGCCATGATCATACTAACTACTCTGAGGAAAAAGAGAACGGGGAGCAGGATGGCAAAGCCAAATCCGTCGAAACTACCAGCGGCAATAGAACTAATGAAGTAAATGCAACAGTTGGCCAACCTCAGGAACAACGGGAGACCAAGAGGGATAGGCCACTAAATGGAGTGGATCCCGAAGATTCTCGTGCTGTTGCTGAAAAGCCGAGTCCAAATAAAGCTAATCGAAAAAAATCAAAGGTAATGCTAATGTATAATAATAACCATTATATGATGAAGGTATTGCTTAGACTGGGAAAACTTGTTTACAATCGCATTTGGTTGTTTGAATTCTTAGGTAGACTGGACACCTGAACTGCACAAGAAATTTGTCGAGGCAGTGGACCAATTAGGTATAGATCAAGCCATCCCTTCTCGAATACTAGAGCTAATGAAAGTAGAAGGCTTGACGAGGCAAAATGTGGCAAGTCATCTCCAGGTTGGTAACAAATATTTGTTTTCATTTTGATACTCGAATCGGATTCCATGATTACGAGAGCTGAACACATCAAGAAACCTCATTGAGGTCTCGGATTCAAGTAGTTGCCTCTGCAGAGTGTATATAAATTGACAATGATTGAAAAAAAATTATGAGAACCGATATGAAAAGATTATGAGAACCGATGACGAGATTCATTTGTTGGTGAAACAGAAATATCGAATGCAGAGGAGACACATTTTACCGAAGGAGGATGATCGAAAATGTCCACAAAGACATCGATTGCAAAGTTATAATCATCCAAATAAACCGATCATGGCCTTCCCTCCATATTACTTGAACCATGTTGTCCCGTATCCCATGTTGGGAGCACCTTGTCATTCACCCACCATCCAGATGTGGGGCGTGCAAGGTTACTACCCTCCATGGCAGCCAACTGAAAGTTGGCACTTTCTGCCCCCACTTCAGGGATATTTCTCCATGTTCACTCAAGTGAGTATTTAGCTATTTAATATCAATATTAGCTCGTAATCTTACGATCGAAGCACATGAATGAATATGCAGAATTCGACGGGATTTCGTTGTTGTTGTGCCATGGACACAAGAAGTGGGGTGTCGAGAACCTGTGTGGAACATCATGTGGTCCTTAATCCTCCATTTTTAGGGTTGGAGCTACTACATTGGGGATGTAAGTTAACCCACACTTCATTGTGCTTGATTGAATGCAGGAAGAAGAGGTGATCGATAAGACTGTGAAAGAAGCGATAAGCATGCCATGGCTACCATTGCCCTTAGGCCTGAAGCCTCCATCCACCGAGTCTGTGCTTGCTGAGCTCTCTAGACAAGGTATTTCAGCCATCGACGGATCTAGCCTTTGAATTAATGAAGGTGCTGATGTGTCACTACACGTCAGCTTCCAGATAGTTTATGTGATAGGTCTGGGTTACACGTGGGTTAAGACCCTTTTTTGTTGCTTTCATCTTGCTACACGTGGATAGGTTTGGAGAGAGGTCAATTTGATCTGATCCAATCTATTGCAACACGAGTGTCGGAGGTAATTTGTTTTTAATAGTATAAGAGAATGTTATTTTCTATCTTATAATCATTCTAAATTAATAAAATAAAATAAAACATTAAGTAGGGTTACGGGCTACACTATTTCTGGTTCGATTTACATTATAAAATCTTATGTCATTAATTTGTTCCAGTAGATTTTGGTGTGTCTTAGAAAGCATATGAGATACAATTTTTTTTATTAAACTAAGATGATTTTGTAATATATGTTCTAAATATTCTCAAAATGAACGTCAATCATCCTAGCAGCCGTTGGTACTCAAATATATGACTTATAAGAACAACAATAATTCTTTTAACCATTAAGGTAAGTTAATTTATGTAGTGAGATACAATCTTTGACTAACAAGACGATTAATAATGTTGATTAAATATCTTTCTACCTCGATATTTTATCATCCTTCTACAATTGTAAATCAAATGCCTTCACTGAAAGCTGGGACCTCAACAAACAACTTTGTTGGTGGAGATCAATCTTTGTAGGCCATTTCCCTTGAAACAAAGCTTTCAATTTCTAAGGCTACTATACTCTTTTTCAGGGGACCTTTTGTATTTTTCTCAATCCACCCCTTCCAATGTGCTCTCAACCAGTTGATCTTAATCATCATTTGGTACAATTTGATTGCTAACCAAATCTGCGAATCTTTCGTAAGGTTATAATAAATGAAATTGACCAATACAAAGATAATAAGTAAAGCAAACCTGAGGGGATAAGACAAAGAAATTAAGCCTTAATAATCAGGGATGGATCGGCTAACGGGACAGTGTCCCTGAATTTTTTTAAATTTTCATATATTTTCTATTGATAATCTATTTTTATAAAAAAATGATGTTAAAAATTAGCATAAATAAGTGTGATTTAAATTGTTAAAAAATATTTTAAGTTGAATGTAACCTAAAATAAGACTTTTTTATAATATTTTTGGTTACAACTTAAAATATTGTATTTTTCGTAACATTTTAGGTTGATGCAACCTAAAATGTTATTTTTTAATCATATTTTCTCCTTTCGGATTGAGTACTAAATAGGCGATGTGATCCTCCCAATTTGGTCTGTTCCATACGCAAACGTCAATATTCAAATCCTTGATCTTATTTAAAGAATTTAGTATCTCACCAAATGATTATTAGTAAGTTTCTTTGTTTTTTAATTCAAATTAATCATTAACAAAAGTAGATAAAAAGATTATGAGAATTCCATTCCATAAGGTTAGCATGAAATGGAGCCACCCGAGCAACTGTGTGGCAGCTTTATTAGCTTTCCTTTTAGTCCAAGAGAAACCAAGTTCTCAAAATAAGCTTCACTCGCAACCGTCACAATTGGAAGGATTCTTATTGATAAAGAGGAAGTATTTTTATTAAAGAGTTAAATTTATTAATTTATTTTAAATTAAAATAAAAATATAACTGATAAAAAGTTTTAATATTAATAGTTTCAAAATCAGGTTTAGTTTTTTTTTAATAATTTAATTGTTTAGGGAGACTAGAATTCAAAGAGATGGTGAGAAGAAGCTCAAGAGTCAACCATGGCATGCAAGAAGCTGCGCAGGAGCCAACCGTGGGCATGTAAGAAGAAGCTTAGAAGGCAATTGTGTTTTTTCGAGAGAAGGTTTGAAGCTCACCGGAGGCGACCAAGAGTAGTAGTGTTCGTCGATAACATCAGTAAAAGAATTCAAACTTCAACACTAAAGGAAGCTTTTTAAGCTTACGGGTTTGTGGAGGATGTTTACAATATTGCACACAACAACTGTAAGAGACTAGCTCGGAAGATGACTTTTGCTTTCGCTAGATATAGGAAACTGTCTGAAGCTATTCAAAGGGATGATGGTAGGAAATTAGATGGTTTTATAATAATGGTGTTCATGGCGGTGAAAGAAAGAGAAAACAATAGCAAATGTAAGGTGGATGGTCCAAGTACTTTCATCCGAAGGAGACCAGCTCTGCTGAGAGACTCAAGATCGTTCAAGGAAGCCCTATTAGGCCTTGAAAGAAATGGTATTCCTAGTTTGAATGATCCCCTGGAGTCGGGCAAAGCAAGACAGGAAAGAAATGAGCAAGAGGTCTATGTCAATTTGGTGCAAGATCTAAATGTTTCATCCGTGGAGCTAGACAGCCATATTACCTCGACTATCAATATTCCAGAGACGGATATGGTGTTGAGGAGCCTTAGCCTCGTCGGAAAAATCAAGGGCATGTATAGTTTAGACATTGAACAAATGGCACTTAAGTCCGATGGTATCGGTGCCTAAGATCTGCCCATGGTTTGGATTATTGGTAGTCATTCAGTATAATAGCCAAGAGGACTATAGAAAATGTTGGTTAAATAGAGCTGAGTTGTTGCGTTCATGGTTTGAGGATTTGGAGTTGCTTGAAGGCTTCTATGGAAAAAATCGATAAAATTGTGGATTGTGCTCAAAGACGTGCCTCTAAAGAAATGGAATGAAAGTTTCTTTTTGGCTATTGGCAGCAGGTGGGGAAAGGCATTGAAGGTCAAAGAAGAGATGACGAGGAGAGAGAGATTTAATGTGGTATGAGTATCGATAGAAACACAAACGGAATCGAGCATCCCGAATAGATTGTCGTTAATCATCAACAACAGTAAGTATTGGGTTAAAATTCGCATAAAATAGTTTGAGGGAGATCGAACCTTCATTGACGGAAGCTTTCCAATGGACGGAGAAGAGGAGGATGAAGCAAAAGAGTCATTTAGAATATCAGAGTGTTCCGAAGCATTTAATGCGAGCATTTTTATCGAAGAGGTTGATGAATAACGGTTTGACATGACAGTGCCGCCAGACAAATCTTTCTGGAGTTGATGATATTGTTCATGATCCATTGGAAAAATTAACCCAACCTGTAGAAACTAACAGTAGCAATCACCTTTTTGAGGTTCTAATTATCTCCGGATCTGGGCCTCCCAGCTAAATTATTGGAACTAATGGTGCTCCCTTGTTGGATAATGAGAATGTGGGTTTGGTCGACTCCGAGCAGTCTATCTCAAATGAATCCAAATTACTTAATATCCCAATAATGGAGGTAGTAAACATCGAAAGCCCCACATCTAATGTTCAAGCTAGACAAGTCGTGGGCCCTAGTGAAGTGCTGGGTAATGATGATCTGGTGGTTTACAGTCCGGTCATGAATAAAAACAAAAGGATAAGTAAGAAGAAGCAGGCTCAAACTGGAAAGAAAAAAATATGCGAGGAAGGTCTCACAACTCAGCAAAAATTCTTCTCCACATGTTAACAGCAACGGTCAAGAGCATATAGAAGAGACGCTGGTCACGTATCACATTGGGGAGGCCCTTGGAGTAGTTTTTTCAGCAACAGAAAATGAGGTGGTTGGTAGGATCAGGGAAAAGGTGGGTGCTGAAAGAACAAATAGTTAAAGGTAAGTAATTACCTTCCGTCATAGTATTCAGTTGTCTTATATGAATCTATCAATTTTGACTTGGAATGCAAGAGGGCTCGAAAAAAGGGAGAAAGTTCGTGCAATTTGTTGGTTATTGGCCAGATTAGCTCATGTTATTGTCCTTCAGGAAACCAAAGTATCGAATATTAATCAGGGGTTAGGAAGAAGACTGTTGTCGAGCCATTTGGATGATTTAGTTTGAGCACCTTCAGAGGGTTCGGCAGGTGGATTAATTTGCCTACGGGACTCCAGTTTTTTCAAGCTCAGTAGGAAAATTGTTCGAAGCAGATTGGTGGTTTTAGTGGGTTGCTTTCCACATGTAAATATGTAAGTTGGGTTGATAAACATATACGCTCCCAAGGACCCTGGGGAGAGGAGATATTTTTTTATCGAGTTTAAGCGATCTAATTGGGGAATTGGATGTTCCAGTAATTCTAGGAGGGGATTTCAACACGGTCAAGAACGAAAGTGAAAGAGTTGGGGTGAGTTTCCATCAGAGGTCAATGTCCAATTTTGTGGATTTTATTTCGAATGGTAACTTAATTGATCTGCCAATGAGTGGGGGTTCGTTTACGCGGTTCAGGGGAGGAGGTTCTATCTCGGCAAGTCGTCTTGATCGCTTTCTTATCTCAGTGGAAGTGTTTAGTGCCTTCCCTCAATTAGCTCAGTCTTCGATGGGAAGAAGCTTATCGGATCATAAATCGATACTATTGATCGAAGAAAAGATTTATTGTGGTCGCAGAACCTTTAAATGGTTTAACCATTGGGCGGAGGATACAGAATATGTTGAAATGGTCAAAACAGTTTGTGAGAAGAATCAGGGGAAAGACACAACGCAATTCCTAAGGGAGGTTCGGTCAGCTACAAAGAAATGGGAACGGGAAAAGCAATGTAAGGAATTGGACAACCCGGATTTTTTAGAAGGCAAAATAGATGCTCTTGAAAACTTTGTAATTGCAAATGGTAACAACAGGGATGCCATGGCAGAAATTTGAAGTTTTAAAGCGAGATTGTGGAAGGTTCATAGGCGTCACGAAAGAGAGTGGCTCCAAAAAAAGTCGTTTAAAATGGTTTAAGGAGGGGGATAGAAACACAAGATTTTTCCATCTTACAGTTGCAAAAAGAGGGAAAGCTAATCGTATTTCTTCGTTAATGGTGGGCAATGCTGAGATCAGGGATCAAAAGGAATTGGTAAAGACTCTTCAAAAGCATTTCCAGCTGAGTTATAATGAAGTTAATACCCTGCCAGTTAACCGCCTTGACGTTCCGATGAGAAGGTTGAAACCAGAGTCTAGAAGACTAATCGGATCCCCTTTCTAAGAATTGGAGATTTGGAAAGCAATAAAAACAGCAATTGGAGAATTGGATTCAATTTGGAGTTTTTCAAAAAAAAAAAAAAAAAATTGGCCCTTTCTGAAGTCTCAAGTATTGGATTTTTTTCGCAAACTTTTTTCATGGCAACATCAATGATTTTTCTTTCAACAGATCATACATAACACTTATTCTCAAGAAAGATGGGGCAGATTGTGTTGAGGACTTCAGGTCGATATCTCTAGTTAGATTGGCGGTTGTTATAAATGAAGTTGTGGGTGATAATCAGTTCGCATTCATCGCAGGCAAGCGTATCCGGAATTGCTCTTTAATCGCAAACGAAGTCATCGATGATTTGAATCAGCGTAAGAAAAAGTTATAGTTCTCAAAGTCAATTTTAGCAAGGCATATGATACTGTAGATTGGGTTTTCTTATCACTAGTGATGAAGAATATGGGATTCGGTAAAAAAAAATGGAGTAACAATCTTAAGATATTTTTTCTTCTACCTTTCTTTAATCCGAGACGATTTGAAAATTGTAATAAAATTGAGATAGCAAATAAATCTATTTTTAGGATTTATCTTGTCGTTTCAATAGGCTTGCTTAATCTCAAAGTGAATAAATCTGTTTAAAAGAAATTGTTGTTAAGTAACATTGATTATTGAATTTGTTTCAGAACGTTGATTTTGTTCGATAACATAATCGAAAATAAACGAGAATTAATTTTCTGTTTATTAGAATTATTACTAATTCGGTTCCATTTCTTTTACATAAATAATGGAGACAATAAACTCCACGAGTTTACCCAGCATGGAAGCTAGAATGATGGTTTCGGTTAGGAATCTAAATCTAAATGTGAGTCAAACACACTGGCAGTTAATCACAATGAGAAGCCGACGAAATTCTGTGGATAGAATTTCAAGACATGGAAACAAAAGATGATGTTTTATTTGATTACAATGAACCTTGCTAAGTTCTTAAAGGGATATATTCCTTCTTTTAAAGAGGGAGAATGAGAGACAATGTTACCGCATTCAATATTGTTGATGCTTGGAAGCACCCTAACTTTATATGCCATAACTATATTCTTAAGAGTTTTCAAGATTCATTGTATTTAGTATAAGTTGTTTATGAAACAACTAATAAATGATGGGAGACATTAAACCATAAATACAAACCTGAAGATGTTGAAGCTAAAAAGATTTTAATTGTCAAGTTCTTGAATTTTAATAAGGTTGATTTTCAACCATTAGTAAATCAAGTGGAGGAATTCCAACTGATTTTTCGTGGAACTTTCGCTGAAAGAATAGCCATAGGCGAATCATTCCAAGTAGCTGCTATTATTGAAAAGTTACCTCCCGAATGGAGTAACTTCAAGAATTATCTTAAGCACGAAAGGAAGGAAATAACAGTGGAAGAACTGATTATCAGACTTCGAATAGAAGGGGACATTAGAGTTAATGCCAAAAAGCTAAACAAATAAACCTTCAAAGAGGCTAAGTCAAACATGATACAAGTCAAGTACTTCAAGAAGGGAAAACAACCTAAAAATAGGTCGAATTTGGGACCTAAAAGTATAATTTTCAAGGAGAAATTTCAAGGAAAGTGGTACAACTATGGAAAGATGGAGCACAAGTTCTCTAAGTGCATACATCCAAAGAAAGCCAAAGCTCACAAGGCTAATGCTATGGAAAGAATGGCTAAGGACGTTGAGGACTTAGATATGTGTGTTGTGATATTTGAAGTCACCCTAGTTGACTCTATTCCAAGAGCACGGTGGCTTGACACTAGAGCCATGTGTCATATTTGTTATGACAAAGATTCTTTTTTGAATTGAAACCTTGCGACAATGGGGAAAAATTCTACATGGGAAATGATGTGACTCCAAAGATCAAGGGGAATGATATTGTGGTCTTGAAGATAACTTCTGGAAAAGAACTCAAGTTGCACAATGTGTTGTATGTAGGAGTAGATCGCGAGTTGGGTAGTGGTCGACTCGTGCTCGTTTTTTTCTCGATTCCTTACCAGTTAAGCTCGTTAAAATTGTGTTGGGCTCGTGCTCATTAAAAAGCCTTGTTACTCGACTCATTGTTCGTTAACCTCGTTGCTCTTTAAGCTCACTAGAAGTTTTATCTTGTTTTTTTAACTATAAGTAAAATCTACTAATACTATATGGAACTTAATATAAACATAAATTGACAAATTTAACAAAAAAAAATTATCAAAAGAGTGTATGAAGCAATTTCAAAGTCTAAATTCCAAACTCACAATCGACAAATACACCAAATTAACATACTAAAACCAAAGTAACAATCCAAAAATCCACCAAATTAACATATTAAAACCAAAGAACTTAATATAAACATAAATTGACAAATTTAACCCAAAAAAATTATCAAAAGAGTGTATGAAGCAATTTCAATGTCTAAATTCCAAACTCACAATCGACAAATACACCAAATTAACATATTAAAACCAAATCCACCAAACTAACATATTAAAACCAAAGTAACAATAAAAAAATATATCAAAAAACATATTAAAAGCATTCTTGAAAAAAGAAGTTCAGGTATACAATCAATCCTAAAAAAATATGGAAATGAGCATCTCTTCACTTCATTAATTGTTGCTTGCGATTATCAAACTACAAAATTAAGAGAATAATTTACTTTTCTTGATCAACATAGTTATCCTTTCAATAAAAAAAGTTATAATATCTTATAATAAGCAACTAAAATATATATTTCTACTTTGTCGTGAATAATATAGAACTAAATCAATTAATGAACTAAATCAATTAATATGCTTAATCTTAAATAGTCTTACTTTGTTCTTTCTCTTCAATCCATGGAGAGATTAACACTAATATCCACTAAAAATCAACATTTGCACAGTACCCAAAGATAGTGAAGCTCTATAAGAATCAATTATGCGGCTCTTGTAATAAATGTAGCCACGAAGCTACATTTGTTATCAGGATTGCTAAAACATCAACAACCAACCTTGACAAAATATGAAACTTCAAAGATTGATCCTTCTACCATGTTATAGGTTCAAAGCGGTCACATTTATCCATTACACATCTATCCTCAAGATACAAATCAACTTCATTCTTTTCAACTTTGGCCACAACTTCATTGTTGGCCATTTTTTTATTAGATCAAATAAAGGATAAGTGTTTTTTACTTAACTAAAATGTGAAGTACTTTCAATTTCATTTTCTTCATTTTTTTTCATTGTGGAAGGATAATACAAACTAGCATACTCATCATAAAGTTCATATAATATTTCCTGAACTTTAAGAATATTATTTGCAACAACTTCCAAAGAAAATATATTCGGGAAAGTCACTTCAATACCTTTTATTTTCAAACGAGGATTCAACACACAACCAATAGCCATAAGTAAATTACATTCACCCCAATATTTATCAAATCTTTCTTTCATATTTTTAACCATGCCATTAATAAATTCATCGGGAGTATTTAATTTATCATCCAACAAGTTCGACAAACTTTTTCAACCGATACTCACAACCATTGATTAAATCAATGGTATCATGAACATTCTTGACGATTATTTTCACTTTTTCAACCTATGTTGAACCATAATGTTCAAAATGTTAACACAACAACGAAAATGGAATAACTTTCTACCACAAATCAATCTCTTAGTCAATGAGATTGTATCCTTCAAAATTTCTATGCAAACATCATTTGCAGTCATATTGTCCACCGAAATTGTGAAAACCTAGCAAAAAAGAATAAATATAATAAGTGAACAAAATTTTATATAATATTAGAAAAAGTATGCAAACATAACTTAAAAGATCAAACAACTTACTTTTTTCTTAATATCCCATTCTTTAAATACTTGAATATGCAATTGGCAATGTCTTTGCCTTTTCTAGGAGGTATGTGAAAAAAACTCAATATTTACTTTTGAAGTTTCCAACGACCAATAAAATGAAAGGTAAGAACCATATACTCAATCTTTTGAGGACTTGAACGCCACAAGTCAGTGATCAAAGAAATTTTATTTATACTCTTTAACATTTTTTTAAATTTTCTCTTCTAAATCTCATAAGTTTTGAAAACATCATTTCCAATAGTATGACGAGACACAATTTTCCATTGTGGGATTTCTCGTTTCAACATCAAATTAAAACCTTATTCTTCAACAATTGAGAAGGCTTTTTCATGCATGACAATCCAATGAGTAATGCCTTCTCTAAACTTTAAAACATCGTACTAACCATCATGTAAAGCACTAACAAATGAAGAATCAGTGATCTAGTATTTAAATTTGATGGAATGAAGTTAATTAAAATTTATTGTCGCAACTTCATCCGTTTTTTGGGGACATTTATCCAAGTGGTGCTTATAATGAGTAAACTACCATAACAAAGTACTTTTAGTTGTTCCTTGCAATGTAAATATCTTACCTTCCACTTATTGTCTATCATTTAAAGTTTTCCCAAGTCTTTTCAAACTCCATATTGTCTTGCTCTCTTAAAGGACCTTTTGGAGGAACATCAGAATTATCTTCCGTGTAGTTCCTTGAGTGTTATTTGGAGGTATTTCTTGAACCATTTTTTTACCTTATCACCTATCTCATCATTGTCAATCACTACCACATCGTCAATATTCACACTAAATTCTTCAACCACGTGATTCCGAAAATATGAACCAAGGGCATTAGAAGCATATGTTCATATTTAATCAAAATATCAGCATAACATATTAAAACATTCTAAACAAAAAAAAATCCCATTTAATCAAAATATCAGCATAACATATTAAAATGTACTAAAACAAAAAAGAAAATCAGCATACTGAAATTCAAATACTAGAAGCTTACTTTCACGATTAATGAAGATGATATAAGTTTCAAATTGAGTTGGCAATGTTAGTGGGCATATGATAAAACAGATAACAAACTTAATACAATGAAGATTCCTCAAATAAGCTTAAACCGAATTTAAAATTATCAAATATTAAATTGTATTGTAGAACTAAAACGCGAGTTTTCATGCATGACATCCTTATTAACATCACATTCTATCAAAGTTATATAGTGACCACTACTATCGTTTGTCAGGTCAGTAGGGAATAGCATCCAAACGTAGAAAGTTCACCATAAGTGTTTTCACCAAGCTATATTAAAATAATTTCAAACACATAGCAGTTTATATTCAAGCTAAACCCAAAATTAAAGATAATAATGTATTTTCATAGCGTAATAGTATAAGGATTAAGGACTAGTTAATGAAGAATTAGAAATGCATGAAGCAACTGAAGGTAAACGAACTTAAACCCAAAAACAGGATAACCGATAACCCCGAACCAAGTTAATTTCAACAGGACAACCCAAAGAAAATGCAGTCAAATAAGATGAAAACAAAGAATTTTAAAACTAAACTATAAGAACAAAAAGAAAAATGACGAAATTTAAATAAAATGTAAAAATGACAGATAGGCAAACGAACCTGTCATGTACTCATGGCCACCGAGTTAGAGATGAAATCGTGACTCAATAAGGTGATTTGTGGTTTTGAGATTTGAGATTTGAGATTTGAGAGAAAAGAAAGGGTTGAGTTACTGAGATTTAAGGAGGCGCAGGGTTGAAGTGAAGTTGGATAATTAGGGTTTGATTTTTTTCTAGTAAAATAATATTTATTAATTAATATTTTTTATTATTTATTAAAAAATTAATAGATTAATAATTTATCATTTTTTATTAATTATTAATAAATTAGTAATTATTATTTAGACTTTTTTTAATGTAACTACTAAAAAATTATTTTAAAAAATGAATGAGTTGCTCGCGAACTTATCAAGTCGAGTTAGACTTTACTCGACTCAACTCGTTAAGACCTCAGGTCAAGTTCAAGTTCGATTCGAGTCAAACCGAATTGGGTGTTGGTCGAGTTTTGACCAAGCTGAGTTCGAGCTGCTCAACTCATTAAGCACCCCTAGTTTTATGTGCCTGATATACGAAAAAATCTTGTTTCTAGAACACTCTTAAGTGTTCACGACTTTATAATGGTATTTGAATCCCAAAAGCTAATTTTGTCTAAGGTGGAATGCTTGTGGGTAGAGGATATGTATTGAATGATATGTTAAACTCAATGCTATCTCTGTAAAAGTCAAAAGCGTGAATAAGAACATCGTTTTTACAGTGAGTAGTCTAAGCATATTCATGAGCAATCCAAGAGAAAACCACTAGTAAGCAATAAGAAGATATTGAGATATCTTAGATATACTCGAGACTATGGTTTGCATTATTCCAAAGATCCTACTATCTTAGAAGGATATTTTGATGCTAGTTGGATATATGATATTCAAGATACCGAAGGTACAAATGGATATGTATTCACTTTAAGAGAAGGAGTTGTGTCATGGAAATCCTCAAGATAAATTATTATAGCTAGATCCACAATGGAATCTAAGTTTGTACCTCTAGAAAAATTTGGAGAAGATGAATGGATTTGGAACTTCTTGAGGATATTCTATAATAGTCGGAACATATGCTCACATTATGCATATACTGTGACAACCAAGCAACAATTGCTAGAGCATAGAATTTTATGTATAATGGTAAACTGAAACATATGCATCGTCGACATAACATCGCAGATCCCCTAACCAAAGGTTTAAATTGAGATCGAGTTTAGAAAATATCTAAAGGAATGAGACTAAATCTCATTAAATTTAAAGGGGTTATGTGGAGGAAAACCCTATCTAGTTTATTGAAGATCCCAAGATCTAGGTTCAAATGGACAACCTAATTGCATAAACTGTGTGCGATCACTATGAAAGTTTCTTATCCCAAGTCTATTATTATGATGTAAATAGTGATCAAAGTGGTATAGGCTAAGCAAATCTTTTAATGACCATTGTGTGCTTTGGTGAGACAAGCAACATAAGTCACCTATGTCAGAGTGAAGTGGGGCCGCTTCAAGGAGACTATTGGGTATAGTTCTTTCAAATTCTTGCACAACCAGACAATGTTCATGGCTATATAAACATACCCCTGAGAACTAAAATTCTTGTCGTAGAGGTAGTTGTGTGAATTATATCATCATTTACTGATGTGAGTAGATCACAAGCTTGGCAAGGTTCTCGGTAATTTTTTCGAGGCCATTTGATCAAAACAAATCATCAATTTTTGAGAAGCTTCAAGGAGATCATGCAAGCTTAATTCAAGATGCTCGACGCAAGATTATGTACTTGGTCCTATTTCAATCCCAAGGAAGAATCTCCACCAACAAGATATCATACAAGCTTGGATGAATTTATTCCATAAATCAAGATTCATCCTCATTCAATCATACATTGGATTTATAAAGTGACTATTCATTAGATTCATGCTTGGAGATTCAAGGAAGGTGCACCAAGAATTGAAGATTCATTCATCCTTAAACTACATTGGAATCATGAGTCGAGTATGAAAGCCATTAATCCACCTTATTTCAAGTGCATCAAAGTCTAATTCATGTATTTAATTTATGTTTCTTTATTTCCATTTTTCACATGCCTTGTGATAATCCTATAAACAGACCATTATATTCTATTTTAAAAAGACACATTATACCTCTTTAAAATAAGAAATACATTTGAGACTTTATCTATTGTTTCATCTTTAGACTTATCAAGCTTGCTTATGGCCTCTTTCTATCGAACTTATCACTTTCCAAGTGTGATATTCACCCCTTTTGATATCATTAGTTCCTATTGTGATCCTATTCATTCTTATATCATTAGTTTCTTGTTCTATTATAACTAGTGGGTCACAATCCATCCCTAAAATTCATACTTTTCAAATCCATTAATTATTTGCCATCCAATACTTCATCCTTAATCCACCATTTTCGCATAATTTCAATTGAGTTTTAATTTGAACTCTACTAATTTGAGGCATCCTTAATTCGACTGGGAACATGAATGACTCAACTTCAGCATCGAGGTCATGCTTTGTTGTGTTGTGCTATGTACTATAAATGATACGCAAATTGTGCAAGTATACACTCGAACAAGTAATAAAGTGATGAGGATTTGAGGTATTTATAGTATAAAATATGCATACACAAATATAAAAAAAAAGTATGGTGTATGAAGTGTGATATTAACAAAGTAAACAAATGCTATGACAAAAAGAATATTGAGGATTGTATTACAAGATAAGACAACGGAATAACTCTCACACTTGAAAACTCTCAAGTACGAGAAATGGTTGGTCTACTGTGGAATCCTATATCTTGTCTTCATGGATGTCTAACAACTACCCTAAATAAACATGCTTGACAGACTATTAGAAGGTGTTGTACACTATCTCTAGCAAGAATCTGACAGTGAAAATGCTACAGAAATACCTCTCGGCGTGAACTATCACAGTTTACTATCTATAAAGCTCGACTCTTCTTAGTCGTTGAAACTCTATCCTTATCTCTAAGGTGAGTTAGGGTTTACCTCTCAGCACCCCCATTGTCCACGTAGATCTAAGCTTAACTCTCTCGAATATTAATTTATCAAATAAGATTAAGGCTAACTCTCGAAAGATCTTACAAATCATGCATTCAAAATAATGAACAAAGCAAGTATAAATCTAGAAATTTTCAACATCCATTAAACAAAATATAATCATCCACAATAAACCCAAACCAAGATAAGTTAAATCAAGGTTGGGTTAATAACATCCATAAAAGCATTCATATAAAACAACCCAAATGAAATGCTAAAACGCAGAAGCAAACTAAAAGAAAGAAAACTCCTGAGCAACCGTGAATTGCCCTAGCTAAGTTGTCTCTTTCAAGGTCCAACTTGTTGTTTTCCTGGGAGCCTTCAAAAATAGAGAACACCTACGAAGAAGCAGAAAAAAAGAAGAATTAAGGGTAGTCGCCTTTTCTCTCTCTCTCTTATCTCATAAATTCCAGCCTCCTTAAAGGTGGGGTGTCCTTAGCTTTATGTAGTGAGGGCTCATAGGGTTTTGTGCCTTTTAATTCATTACACCCTAGGGAAAAGATTCCCTTCATATAGGGCATATCTTTCATGGGATTCACGTGCAAGCATGGAAAATATCTTCAACTTTTATCTTTTAGTGTGTCCAGGAAAAATGTAAAGAAATGTTGGAGAAAAAGTTCATTTGCACCTAGTTTCTAAACCTACACACGCACAACACTGGAACACTACATTCCATGCATTAGCAACACCGTTAATTAAAAAATAAAGACTATTCAGCCCAATCCACCATATACATGAAATATTCAACTACATGCAACTAATATGCAACTAAATGAGCTAAAGAACAAGCAATAACCCAAGTAAAAAGGCATAAAATATATCATTTTTATGGGTTTATCACACCCCTAAACTGGAGCTATTACTTGTCCCTAAGCAATGAGTAGTAGACAACATAATAAATGCTATGGCAAAGCTCAAATCAAAGACATGTTGTGGAAAAAATTTCTGTCCTCAGAATATATATAGGTTGCAGCATGTTAGACAAAATTAAGACATCAAGAATTTTTCTCTAAGATTAGTCCCCTAAAGTGTGTGTGTAATTGCATCTAGTATATGTCGTGGCAAAATTAAGACTTATAAAGTTTCTAAGTAAGTTCCCTATCCTACCTTAGTATTTGTTTCACACATTAAGCAAGTACATTATTTTTAAAGGGGCTTCAGCTCATCAAAACTGCTCTCACATACTTGAAGATGAAGTGAAACAAACACCCCATCCCCTAGCCATTCGAATAGAGTCACCCTGTGAAGATTTTTGTTCACTCATATACAATTTTTACCATTTATTTAAGATTGTTTCTAGGTAATTAAATGCAAAAGGAGTGTCCTAAATAGTTTTATTCCTTAGGCATTTATTCACATTTCAAGATTTTCAATATATACAAGGGAGTTTTTTTAAATGCTAACATTTAGCATTACATTTTCAAAGTATACCAAGGCATGTAATATTTATTTATAAAAAAAATTCTAATGACCTTAAGCATAGAAAACATACAATTGTGTAAACATTAAAGCATAATGAATCATATCCCATATCAAATTCTATCAATCTCAACTTGTCATTTACATTCAGTTCTCGATATCCATAAAAAATTATCATCATCGAACATCATCAAATTATTCCAAAAACAGTCTTCAATCAAGCAAAAATATACCATAGCAAAATTCTGTTCAATACCATAATGCAAAATGCAAACTAAATTATTAACAATACCTCCCTCAAACATGAGAGATGTATTGCCCTGAATGCATGAAAATATAAGCTGAACTAATCTAAATAAAACTCATCTATATGCAATGTAAGGTACTTTTGCTGGGAATACTTGCTTGGTGAGGTGGACTTGGTGGCCATGTGTTTTACTTGATTCTTGCGAAGGGCTGCAATGGGCTGATTAGACTCAGTAGTTGGTGTTGGTGTATCCTCATCAGACTCCTTAGTTGGGGAGTTCCAAATATGCCCAACTATGCGTTTAAGGCGATGCCTTGTGAGAGGCGTCGAAACTGAGAGAGGCACTGGTGCAGGCATGGGCTCAACATCATCATCGACAAATGCATCATTGGCACTCTCAATAGTGACAAGGTAATCTTCTA